CTGCTGAGAAGGTGCAGCCTGACCCTCTTTCCAAAACCACAATTTCTGATGAAGAACACCAGACCCAAGTCTTTTACCCCTGGATGCTCCTGCTTCCAGCTGCTGGTTTGGAGCATGGTACTTTGGAGTCCCATCAAGCATCTCCCCATACTAGAAGTACGGATCCAAACGTGTCTATACCACTCACTGTTATTGAAGAAGACTCACTTACATGCCAAGATACACGAGAGTGCTCCTTTAATTCAATAAAAGATCAGCTAGTATAATAAGTAGTTGTTTCTAATGTTCAACAATCTAAACATGTCTGGCACACTTTAGACCAATCCACTCATCAGGTAAGCCAGTTTTTGAATGAGGAATGACAAGTCTATTCCAGAAGAAAGAAAAATAATGGAGGCCGACTTGAGCTCAAAAACTTATTAGAGGATATATTGGTTACTATTAGCAATGACATTCATCTTACCAATTTATTAGCTGACTCTTTTCCTAGAACTAGAGTTAGAGGCAGAGCAAAATTGAGTTGCTCTCTAGCTACTTGATAGTACGCGTTTTGACACTTTTGGTTTTTTTTAGGCTCTTATATATTTTTTTGTATTTTCTTTTTTTGGAACCATTTGCATGTGACGTATATCGTGCGGGTAGGGTTTCATGCTTGGGCCGTCTCACATAATTTATCTGTATTCTTCTTTCTTTTTAATATATTAGCCCTTGGGCTTTATCCAAAAAAAAAAAAAAAGAAAAAAAATCCAAAATCTGAAATACACACAGACAGTTACACGGTAAAAATGAATGGGGCATCTACATACCACCCAATTCTTATGCATAAAAATATCTAACACCTAAACTCTACTTTTTACATTTAAACCGCCCAATCTTTCGTATTAAATAAAAAATCTCACTATTTTAACTTAAAAAAATAAAATACACCTACTCATGTGTAACTAAGATGGCATATAAATAAAAATTAAAGTTTAGTTGTTAGACACGTAAATGCATAGGAATTAAGTGGTATTATGTAAATTTTTCAAAAATGAATTTTGTGTCTAGGTCACTGAATGGAGTACTGTTGGGTGAGTGTGATGCAAAATGGATGGTGGCGTACTGGTGTTTATTGTGTCCATATGGGATTATGGTTCGCCGGTGCTAGTGGAACTATGCACATGCTATAGATACCTAGCTATACTTTAGATTTGTATGGCAAGCCTATGTATGACCAACCAATAGACATCACACTGATTTTAATTGTCAAAATCAATACATCATACATGTACCGGTTAAAAGTATTTTTCAGCTTAAATTACCTCTATGAGTATATATCATCTAACTGCTATAACTTTGTTACCTATAACAAATAAGCATTATATAAGAAGATAGTTGCATAGCATTGAAGAGTATAACCCATTTTTCTTTTCATTCAACTACTTTGGTGTAGAAGTAGAGGCCATAGCTATAGAGTGAATGGAAATGATAGTTACACAAGTATTATAACGAGAAATTTCTCTAATGAGTGATTTACAACAAGCATAGAAAACTAGGATGTAATAGATGGAATCCATAGGCTTTCACAAGAGGAAATCAGTGTTGTCACGGGCCAATGAGCGATGAGATGGTCCAAAATAGGAGGTTATGGATTTCACAAGAGGAAATCAGTGTTGTGGCAGACCAATGAAAGATGAGATGGTCCAAAATAGGAGGTGACACATTTATCTTCGGTAAGCATAACTAGTGAAGAAACTGTGTTTAGGTTTGGATGGGAGATAAATAGATTAAAAAAGTGAAATAAAAGTCGAGAAGATTTAGATAAGCAAATATGTTGTGTCCAATATTTATCTATAATCTAGTGGAAAGATAATCTCTATTAAACCGTGGACATGGGAAAACTTCATTGAACGACAAAAATCTTTTCTCCAAATTTTTTAGGCATTCAAGCTGGTATATAATTATTCCCTTAGTCTTATTACAGAATTGCTCCCAAATGCATGTTTTTCCCACAACAATTGCTATCAGAGTAAAACGCTTTGGAGTTCTAGGAAAAAGTGGGAGTAAAGGTGACAAAAATAAGAAGGTAAGAATCAACAGGATAAATGGTAAGAAAAAGTACTGAAAAATGCAAATGGAGGATTACTTGTAACAAAGAAAACTATTATCAACCTCTTTTTGTGTAGAAACCTACTAGAGTAAGCCAAGAAGAATGAAACCACCCAGACGGACAAGCACTCAGGGTTGTACACATGTCCCTAATAATGAGGGTTGCCTTCCATATGTTGCATAAGAAACCTTCACAGCAAATAAAGTACCTCTAGTGAGGTTTTTTTTCGATCTTAAAATAGTTGAAGTTGATTTTGTAGTAATATATATCAATTAGTTCAATCTGACAACAAGTTAGTAGAGCTTGATAGGTTCCAAATTCAATGATGAAGTTCGTGTATTTAACTTGTTATAATCAATTATGACAAGATAGGTTGAAACTATCATAGCCATTGGCAATCCCTGTGGGTCTTCAATGTTGAAGCATGACGATGTATATGACCTCATTTTAGTGAGGACATCAAGAGTGCTGAATCTAGTGAAGGATTTTCATCAGATTCTCTGGATATTGATAGCAGAGGACAAAGTGTGTGAAAAAACATTAGAGAAGGTAGATCAAAATCTTAGCAAAAAAAGCCAATAAATAAATAGTCGTAATGGTGCACAATGGCAACGAGGCAAGATTGACCACATAAAAAAGGATTATTATTAAGAAAAGGGTTATAAAAAATAATTTTATGTGATTCAGCATCAAATTATCCTATATACATGCCTAAGCACCCAAGTGCTTAAGATTCCCCTAAACGAGCTCCTCATGTCAAGGAATCTCTCTGCTTACAGCAGAGTAGCCTTCACACACTTAAACTTCGACACCAAACAAACACAACAGCAACACGTCTCGAAACAAGCAAGATAAACCAATAATCCCAATTGAAAAATAATAAATATGTTTCCAAAGGTCTCTAACACTTCAAAGCAATACAAGGCTAATACCAATTATCAACAAGAAAGCTACTCAGCCTCTGCAGCAATAGATTGAAGTATCCAATGTAAATCACATACAAATTTTGAAAGGCCGGTTGATTTAAAGAAAATAGGGTGTAAAGTATTCCACATGCTGGGGCTCTGAAAATATCGATGTTTAGTTTGAAGCA